AAATTACATATTGGTAAAAGTTAGCCAACAAATTGACACTTTCTGTTGATCTCGTTGTACCATAGCAACACTGAGTATTCATGAACTGCAATAAACATTTGAACAAATAGCACTGCCTTTTACTTCAGGGCTTTGATATGTGTTATTTAGCATGACATTTGTGGGTATGTTTAAATGTGCACGTAGGTTACATGTTGAGTTCTGATCAGGCAGTTACAGCATTTCCAAGCATTTGAATTCTTTATTTTTTTTTTCATTCAAGTCGTATGAGCTTATTTAAGTTGTAATGTAAATAATCACTTGCCATGATGACTCATACACTGACTCACAAGGAGGAAACAATACTAGTGTCACTGTCGGGCTGGTAATAAAAGGGCTCTACCAAGCAGATATGAGACGAACACTTTTATTTTTATTTATTTTGTGTATTAAAAGTGAGGCAAACTTTCGTCTGCTGAACATTTGTAAAATACAATCCAAACTACTGCATTTAATTTAGTTTTTTTCATATTTTTTTCATTATCTGGTCATTGTGTTTGGACATATAGTGCACCACTGTAAAGGCACTGGAACAAATCTAGGAGTTAGCAAGTCTCCTGCACCCAGAATAGGTTGGGTGTTGTTACCATGGTGACCACCATTAGTCAATCAGCATAATCCTCCGATACATAATACTCAAAAAACTAAAACATCCGGTTTGTTTATTACTCACTAGGATCTATACTATCACTGGTGATCACACACACAAACACAATTGCACTGAGTCAACTGTGCTGGAACAATGGGAACAAACATGTGCACTACCACCAACACATGGGATGTGAAAGCACGCACAAACACATACACACAACACACAACACACAACACACACACAACACAGACACACACACAGACACACAGCATATCTAACAGAAGCAGAGATCACAGCTCAGCACCACTCAATTTCTGACTCCTGTCTCATCTCTTTCCAATGTGAGGAGACACACACAGAGCCAGAGAGAGAAAGAGAGGGAGGGGGGGGGGGAGGCGTAGGGGTAGGGGGGGCACAAAGAGAGAGCTGAAAAACATAAAACCCAATGAAATTAATGAGAACGTAAGAGGGGTGGGAAGTCAGAAGAGTCTCAGAAGTGAAAATAGCGGGGTGCAAAAGGAGGAGAGGGGAGGGAGACCAGTTTCACAAGAGGTCTTAGTCAGGAGAAACCGAAGCAGTTCTATCTTGTATCTTACATGCAATTGGTGACATGTTTTACAGCCAAAATGTTCAGAATGAATAACAAAACACTTACAGGATTCATTCAAACCATAGTTCACTGTGTCCATTATTTCAAAACTATTGCAGGTGGTGATTTCAAGTCTTAAATGGGCAATCAGGAAAACTGGTAAATGTTGAGAGCACCAACCAGTTTATTCCGCATTCAAAACAAGTCTATTACAAACAAGTAAGGACATCAAGAGTGAAGGGCAACCAAGGACATGCAAAAGAGCATCATCCGCTTAAAGATAGTCCTCAAAGTGCCGATTTACTGTAAAGGAACTATGTTATTTAATGTAGATAATAGTGCACCAAGAATGGACCCCTGTGGCACACCGTCACTCACGGTAAGACAGCTTTAGACGTATGTGCATATTAAAAAAGAAATTATATATTAGTCATTTTTTGATAGCGTCAAACTGTGACTGTGTTTCATCTTCACTACTTCCATGGCTGCATTAAAATACAGCAATGCAAACATTATTTTTACTCCATTTATAACTGAGGTGAAAGGCAGCTAAAGTTGAGTTTATAGAAAGCACGGCATCACACCTAAATCGAACGACTGACATTTATCATGGTTTAGGCGTGCCCTTGCAGCAAGATAGTGATGGTTCTTACTGATGTCATGTGGTTTCTAGTCAGTGCAATACATGTAGCTTGCACCCGTTATGCTACCATGCAATTAGTGGTAGAAATATGTGCTGGAATTGCTGAAGGAAGATAGGGTGATGCGATAAATGTACATACATTTTATTAAACACGCTAAGGTTTCCAGATTAATTAAAAAAAATACGCTCTGCACCTTAAGAATCACCTAAATAAGGACATGCCGAGCCCATCCTCCGTCACCTACGCATTACTAGAATTAGAAAGGTGTAGATAGAGGAATGGATGGATTGAGAGAAGAGAGAGAGGGATGGATTTAGTTGCTGAAATAGAGGAGAGAGAGAGGGAAAGGGGCAAGACAGGTCCAAAAATAAAGGCAGGAAGAGCGCTAATGAGTACAAGTACACTCAGGTTTGCTTAGTTGCTGTGACAACGTGCTGGCTCATTGCTTCCAGCCACACGAGTGCATATCCAATGAATAACACACACATACACACAGTTGAGAGTAAAGAAAACAGTTCCCTTCAAGCTGAATCCTTCAATAGGTTCACAGGCGTCCAACACCCATCAAAACACACTTTATTGAGAACAACAATGGAATCTGTCCATATGTCTGCATGTGTATGTGCCTCTTTATTAAAAACTATCAAATAGGTAAGCCAACAAAAGAAAAGCAGCCAAGGCTTTTAACTAAATCAATCAGGACCAAAGTGCTGAGACTGTGCCAGTTGGAGCGATCTGAATACATTTAGCAAAGGAAGAACCAGCGCTGGAGAAATGTGTAAAAAAGCTTTACAATGCAGCAGATCCTCCTGCATCAGGACCTCAGGCGTTCCCGCTGACAGGCACAGTCAGCAGACGCAAAATATAGATCATAAATTGTGTTCATGAAGTTTATAAACTGTGAGAAGATGTATGAGTTTGAATAAATGTAAGAAAAAGTCAAATGTCCCTTGAGGCACTTGGCAGGGATGTCCTTTCTTTCCGTTTTTCTTGCGTCACTAGAAACTAGTGATCGTCAATCATCCCAAACATTAGACAAAATGATGATATATAAATACTGTGAGATTACTTTTGAGACCTTTTTTAGCTTACCTTACGATACCACCTCTTCTGAAATAGATATCTGTGGTTGTATGAGGGCTTTGGAGGCAATGATGCAAATCAGTGGGCAGGATTTATAGATCGTTTTTAATCAGTGTGATTAAAGGGGTCCTTTTTTGGTAATGTTCAGCTTCATATCAGTATGTAGTGTCTCTACTGTGACATGTCTCCATGCTTTAATGTTCAAAAAGCTCTTTATTTTTCTCATACTGCCTGTGCTGCAGCACCTCTTTTCACCCTCTGTCTGAAACCAGAGCCCAGTCTGCTCTGATTGGTTAGCTGGCCGACTATGATGTGATTGGTTAACCGTTTAGACATGTCCCGACCCTTAGTCTATCATGTACAATGTGTTAGCCAATAGAAGTGCGAGTGTAACATTGTGATGTCACTATGCTACAGAAGTAAAGGAAAGGAGTCTTTGCAGATCATTTACATGCACAAAAACCTATATAACACAACCCAAAAAAGCATAATAGGGCCCCTTTTAGTACATCAATATTAAAGTTCTTAAAAAAAATGTATTGTATGAAACGAGGGGTTTATGGCATGCTACAATGATCTGTTTGGTATTTCGAGCCAAACACTTCAGAGACATGTTTTGTATATATCTGAGATCTAAACTATATTGGGGAAAAAGAGTATAATAGGGGACCTTTAAATATTCATTACTTGGAATGCACCATTCTTTTCTGCAGTATTTTGAAATAACGTTTCAGTCAAAACTACAGTTTTAGCCACCAAATGGTAAAATACTACTCCGGTAACATTTCAAGTTCACTACACTACAGGATTATTGAAAGTATCCATGTGGGAAATCAGACAGTGGAACTGCTCAAACTGCAAAACCAAAATCTTTTACCTGCCAGAAATCCATTTGATCACCCAAGGGCCAGTTCATTGATCTTTCAGGCAATTCATCAGGCATGGTGACCCCTGCTTAAACTAAACATCAAACCATAACTGATACGGAAGAAATTGTGCCAGAAATCAAAATTCCCTGAGGTGCCTAATCCAATGACATATTGATTACATCACAGGTTTAGAGGGTCTCTGGCTTTGGAATATGTTTTTTCATATATTGAATATTGATTGGAAAGCCACATAGTAAACATAAACTGGGTGATACTCTACTTCTTTAACTGCTGTTTGTGTTAGCACATGTGCAGTTACCACTCATGATCCCTGCACAGTAGGTCACAGCTGCAAGGACAGTGCAACTAGGTGTGTGTGTGAGTGTGAGTGTGAGTGTGAGTGTGAGTGTGTGTGTGTACTGTACTGTACTGTATCTCTTATATGTGTGTCAAAGCATGTATTTGTTTCTGCAAAAGCACTGCATGGGGATGTTCCCCCCCAGGGGCCAGCGGAGGGCCCGAGGGCTGGAGTTGACAACACTGATAACCAAGATTAGCTGTTCAACGATGCATAAACACACACAAACACACAGTGGCGTGCACACATGCATGAGACGTGCAGCACAGTGTGAGTTTCAGAGAGGTGGAGGGAGAAACAGATGTCACATTGAAGCTGGGAGGAGGCCTCTTTTAAGCCTCAAGGAAAACTGGCTAAACACAGACACACAAAATAGTCTGCATGGCTCTCCATCTCTGTCTCCCTTTTGATGTCAACATGAGGCAAGACGAGAAGTGAATCAAAAATTCATTATATACTGAACTACTGAAACTAGACCTATAGAATACTGATATGTAGCTCTAAATAGAGTGGTGCAGTGATGACAGATTGTTGTAGGCCAACTCGAAGTTAGCATCGCCAGGGCTTCCTCGCAAAAAAGCAATAGGATTTTGGAATATTGCAGAGATAAGTTGGCAATCACACGTTTATGATACTTGCATGTTTTTTTCGGCAGTATAATCCCACATATTCAGAAATCTAATTCTTAATTGTCAAGCAGAAGCCTTATTTTCCTAAAAGTGATGAGTATATCCAATACCAAGCAAAAGCAAAGGGGTTATATGCTCTATGACAAGACAAGTACCAATCAAATTCAAAATCAAAATGTGTGTCCCTCTCTGCTTACCTTCCTAAGCAAGTTGCAGATCCTCTCAATGTTCCGCAGCCTCTCCCTCTGTGAGGAGACAGAAAAGATACGATTGCAATTCACTAGGTTTCACAGAACATCTTCTTACTCATGACTAAATAAATTCATTATGATGACATTGGGTGAAAGATGCAACTAAAACATTAAAATTCATGAACAGAAATATTGTGAAAGGGTTGAAATAAGCCTGTCAATAACAAGGTAGCCCCGCCCTAAAGGATACACTGGTTAACCGTTTATTTTACTCTAAATCAAATCCTAATAAAACTAACTAACATCATAGTGTATTAAGGAAGACTTGAAAGTAGCAATTAAGACTGAGAATCAATTTATGTTAACAATGTTTACTGAGGTAAGAAATCAAGTTATGAGTAGGGTCATTTCTCCTTGACTTCTATAAAACTGTAAGTCGTAAAACAAGGATAGGTGCACTGTTTCAAGGTGCAGTGAACACATACTGGACATTGAACACAAAGACAACTCAAAGACAACTGGAACTTAAATGTATGTAACTGTTCCTCATAAAAGTGAATGGAATGCACACTTGATGCGAGCAAAGCATTATAGGTTTTTTTTTCTTTTAATGGTGCATAAAAAAGATGCATGTATTGGTGATGCATTTAAGGTGTCTTGGGGTCGATACATTTAAGATCATGTGTAATCATCCCCTGGTTTGTAAGGGTCATGTATGACTTTCCTCATATCACTTTAATGTGTTTTGAAAGGTGTGACAAGTGAAGACCCCACTGGACCAGCTTAGGAGGTCATTACATTTAGTTTTTATTCCACATATGTAATGTGGTTTGACAGCAGGAAGTTAACGCATACGAAATTTGGAGGATTTAGAGTGCATTTGCCCTCAAGTCACTTTAGTTATCATTGTGTTTATATAAGTTTTATACTATATTTGAGTGTTCTCAGCTTGTGTTAAAAGCTGTGAAATGCTTAAATCAGCACTTGCCACAATGCTGACTCTAACAGCTGCCACTTCACCAAAGCTTTTAACATCATCATCAAATATTAACTAATTCCTATAGCGACGCATTCAGGTCTTGACTTGGCTCTACAGGGGGCGATGCATAACTCTGGCTGCTTATAAATCATAAATTGATCTGAGTGTCCTGCTGTTTGTGGACAGTCAGTTTGACTTTATTTCTGCTTCTAATAAGCAGGCTGCAAACGTCAACAACTGTGGCACCAAGGGAACGACAAAGTGTATAAAAAAACATGTATGCTCACACAGAACATTAAAGAGTGTGTGCGTGTGTGTGAGCGAGTGTGTGGCACTTTGGAGAGAGCTGTGATGTAGACAATGACTATGTGCAATGTACACACAGACACACATACTGGTTTTTATTTGCATTGGGGACCAACTTTCTGAACAACACTTGAGGGGACTACCCTTACTAGAGGTCCTAGAGCATGGGTCGGCAACAGGCGTCCCGCGGGCCATTGTTGGCCCGCCAGCAATAATATTTGGCCCGTAATTTTGAGAATAAAAAATAAAAAAATATTTTGAGATTTATTTTATTTATTTTTTTACAACATCGGACCGACAGTCGCACATATAGGCTATAATGTCCGAATAGAGAATCTACCTACACCTGAAGAATGCTTATTGTACTTTTATCTATGTTGAGAATGAATGACATACAGCACAGGCACAATCAGGCAGCGGGGTGCACTGACAATTAAAGTACTTATTTAAAGGACACCTATCATGCTATATTTAAATGATATATTGTAGGGCCATACCTATATAAGGTATATTTATACGTTTCTGTTTTCAAAATACCAAACAGATCATGCATTTTAGCCATGCCTCATTTCACTCTATTTGCTGTTCTCCATCCCTGTTTTTGCAGGGGGCTGATACTGTGAGCTGCAGCTGACCACACCCCCCTGCAGGAGAGGGGAGCGTGCTCTGATCAAGTCAGAAGAGGGGGAGAAAAAGAGATCTCCGTCCTCCGTGTTTTATTCTTATATTATTATATAGAGTCGTTATTCATTTGTTTTAAAGCTCAATAAATAACAAAGAAGACCTTTGACCGGCACTTTTATAATTTTGTCCGGAAGATTTCAACTTTAACGGACATCTTGACCGGCGAAAGAAAACCTAACTGAAACTCTGCCGCACGGTCCCCTCGTTCCTTGGAAGAGGCGGAGAGGTGGGTGTTTGTCATCTGCTGGTGGACTAACCGGAGAGAATTACAGTGCTTGCCTCGGGGAGGGAGAACAAAAGCCACAACGGAGAATAAACAGAAGGGTAACCATGGCAACCATGCGCGGGAAGTCTTCTTCGCTGCTTTTGTGGCAGACTACAGCGCCACTTAGAGGCCTGGCATATGTACTACAGCGTCTCCAGCGCTTTCGAGCGGCAATGGCCGGCCGTGGCCCAACCCCTCATTCCCCTGATAGGTGGAGAGTTGGCCCAATAGCCGTAGCGCCACCGTCCTGACGTCAGGACAGTGTTCAAATCTGGATCAGTTTTTATCAGATCCGTTGCAGCCCCTATTTTAGAGATTTGGGTATGGAGGAAAATAGAGAGGGTTGTGTTTTCTGACACTTGGTGAGTTCCCTGGAACACCGGGGACACATATTCATGTATAAAAGACATACAAAAGTGCATTTTGCATGATAGGTCCCCTTTAACTATTAAATACATTGAGTTTGAGTAAAATACTTGGTTACTGATTAATTTAGGTTATAATATATTAAATAAATTGCAAAGCAAAACATGCTGTAATTTATTTATTTTGTATTTTTTAAAGGTTTTCAACCTGAAAGAATACTAATGTGTCCTTGAAAAGTTGAAATAAAGAAAAGGAAAAAGGATTCCAGTTGTCCATGCGTCCTCTGTTGCCCCTCAAGCCTCTCAAATGTGGGCAAACACTCAAATAAATGCCAAAAACCCAGAGAACTTGACAATACTTATCAGAATAAAAGTATGTTAAATAACACTGCTACCTAGTTAATAACTCACTCAGTGGAGGCTCGTCCATTGAGGAAAGGGAGGACCATCCTCCCTAAAATTTCAGAAAAAAATAAACTTAGAAGAGAACAATAAATACACCTCAATTTAAAAGATAAGTCTGTTAAAATACAGATAATAGCCCTGACTTTTAACATGGGACTGAAATGGGGCAAGAGACGACGAGCCTCCCTTTGGGCGGGTCTATCCAGAGGCTCTGGATTGGGCGCCTATATCATCAGTGAACCAATCAGCGGATCTGACTGCGCATCAGAGTGTTGATGGGGAGGGTTATCAGCGATATCAGAGTTTTTTCTGAACCGGGGAACAGGGGCGCTCGCCCTCTTACCAAAATAAATTCCTTGAATTAGGCTTTGATTATGTTCTGGCCCGCCATCTTGTGGCTCAGCAAAAAATTGGCCCACGGCCAAACTTACTTGCCTACCCCTGTCCTAGAGGCATGAACAAAAAAATACACATACACACTGGCAGTCATATTTAAAACACACAGTACCCATGATAAATGATTTTAACTCACTGTATGGGCAGTGAGGCCCCCTACCTTGGCAACAGCATCATACCCAAAGATGGAGAACAGTATACATGTATTTTTGACTTGGCAAGCTAGCCCTACCATAGATAGAGCAACTTTTTTTATTTTTCTTGTCACTTTTATGAACTATTTTTGAGCAGTGGATTTGATGTTTTCTGTGACAATGGTCCTAAATGACTGTATACTAGCATCACAGCAGACAAAGTCAGCAGGTGCCTGGTAAACCAACTGGAGCATATCGTCACTAAAGAGCCAAATAACGCAAAGAACTTGATAAAGAACAAAGCAAAGGAGTAAATATTCGAATTTCTGCTCAGATTGGCAGAAACAAATAAATACATAAATGAATATGCAATTCCCAGCCTGTCCCTATACAAAAAACGACCAAATAGGTCGATTGTTCAGCAGCTTATTACGACCCATAGTCACGTTTTAAAGTGTATCACCTCTAGTGGTCGTGTAAGAAACCACATGCTCCCGTTGATTGCAAACGCTCCGGAGGGTCGTTTATTCACAAATAACCCTCTCTGGAAAATTGTGGAATAATTTGGCCATTAATATGCTTTTTGATTAGATTTCTAGCGAGAAGTGTATATTGTACTTTTAGAATCTACGTCCAGTGGATGTGTAGGATCTATAGTTTGATAGATATTACGAAGATTATTTGAGGTCTCGTCAGGAGAACGTTATTATACTACGTCTTTCTGCAGCGTCCATGTAAAGTTGGCGTCAACCCTCACGGGGTGAAAACAGTATTTCCGGTCTCGAAGTTTTCATATAAAACCGGAAGTATTCCCCTCACTGTCAAATGATTACACAGTGATATCTGCATTACTCATTCACTAAAAAATGAGGGGTTACGTATGGTAACCCTTGTTATATAAGCACAGGTGGAGCCCTCTACTGGACTCTATGGGTACTACCTTATCATGCAAGCATTCACCTACTGAGACTTCGATAGACGTAGCCGGCCCCGGGGCGGGCCTACCTGAATGTGCGCGCATCTCACCGTTTAAAAGGAGGCCTCGCCTCCTGACCGTCATCCTACACCTCTCTTCAGCGAGCGGTATAGGACAGACAGTGCCCCGAGTAGAGGGCTCCGCCTGTGCTTATATAACAAGGGTTACCATACGTAACCCCTCGTTATATCTCTCACAGGCTCCGTCCTCTACTGGACTCTATGGGTACAGTGGGCGGAGCCCCGATGTATACACGCACTGTCGTCCAACAACACCGTTCCACCTCACTGCCCCTGACCGGCTTTAGCAGCCGCTGCGCCTCACTCACCTCTCCCTCGGTTGTAACCGTGGAGAAGTCCGGGCTGCGGCTGACAGAGCACACCCTGACGCGCTTACCTCGAGAAAAGTGTGCTCGGAAACAGTGCTGAGGGCTCCCCGTCCGTCCGTCCGCCCAAAGGCAGACGGAGAGAGTCCCCAGCCCTGTATGGGCTCACTATGCACCACCTCTCCCGAGTCCCTGAGGAGCACGGGGAGAGTGCAAGGG